AAAGCTGAATCAACTCATTATTTGACAAATGTGTTTCCTCTCCCACCCTAACCATGCTTTATACTAGAAATCAGGATATTTTCTCATAGTTTTTAGGTGTTTACAAGGCAAAGAAGTGATGAAATCAGTAAGAATTGTGGAGAGTGGTGGAATTGGGAATCCAAAGTTAGAGGAAGAGCGTCTTTCAGAAAGCTTCCAGGAGGGCCACGATGGGGGTCCAGAGGCAAAAGGAGGGGAGACTTCTGGGCCAAGGGTGCTGCAAATATATTTATGTACACAACTCTGTGTTTGTGTGTGTGTGTGTGTCTGTGTCTGTATATGTGTGTGTTTATGTGTATGTGTGTATGTCTGTGTGTGTCTCTGTGTGTATGTGTATATATGTGTGTCTGTGTCTGTGTGTGTGTATGTGTGTGTATGTGTATGTGTGTGTGTGTGTGTGTGTGTGTGTGTGTGTGTGTGTGTGTGTGTGTGTTCCCTCCTTTGATCAGCTCAGAGGAGAGTGAGGTTCAAGGGTTTCTGTCCACGTAAGCATGGACTCCTACTTTCACACCCCAATTAGATGAGATCATTTTCTTCATTCTCCCTCCCCACCAGGTGTATTCCTCTTGCCTTCTGTTCCCATTCTTCTTTTAAGGTCATCAGAACGTAACAACATCAATCTCAGGCCTTCTGTCTAATTAGCTTGCCTCTGTGACCCCTGATGATGATAGACTTCTGAGGCATCATCTCCCCATATTAAAATGTAAAGTTTTCCTTGTTTAGTCCCATATGATTGGTCACATGCTTATGTTGACCTTTTAAATGTTTCCCTTGACTCCTGTGTTTGGACATAAGAGTTTTTCTGCAGCTCTGGGCTTTTCATCAGGAATGCTTGGAAGTCCTCTGTTCATTAAAGGGCCATTCTCCCCCCAGAAGTGACCCAGAAGTGGATGAGAGCAGCAAAGCTGTCGTTCAGCACCTGCTCCCATGCCCTATACAGGGTGTCCCCTAGGCTGGATCTAGCCCCTCCCTGCCCTAGAAAGTCCTTTCTAGGCTAATCCCCACCCCCACTGAATGCAGACCTCTCTACCCATCTCCTTATGTGATCCTGGGGAACTTGGCCGTCCTTCCTGCTGCTCCACCACTTTGGCTCTGCTTTGGCAATCCCTGCTTGGAAGGAGCTTACATTCTAATTGGAATTTACATTCTAGCCTAGCCCAGATTCTCAGCAATGTATTAGAGTATAGGATCCCTGAAGCAGGTTTTTTTTTTTTTAACTTCTTATCTTTGTCCCTCCTCCCCAGCACAATGCCTTTGCATTTAGAGATGTCATTTATTTAACATTTTAAGATTAGTTTTTTTAAAAATGTTGTCAGTGTTTAATGAATATTGAATTGAATAATACACCTTTCAGCATTTCTATCTTAAGATTTAGACCTTTGCCCTTGGATTTAGTTTCAAATGAGATCACCAGTTATTATCTTTCTCTAGGGCTCCACAAAGTTTATGGCCCAACATTGCAGGCACTTCCTGTGCCAGCTTGGATTGTGAACACCATTACAGGCTGTCTTTTTGAGTTTCTATGGACAAAACCATTTCACCTTGGGTAGAGAGCCTTCAGAAAGTGACTCAGAATTCTGTGGGGGCAATCTGGTCCTCCAACGAAGGAAATACTCCATTCCTAAGGTGGCTCATAGACCAGGACTTCCTAATTTAGTAGATCTGGCACTGGCTTGCCCTTCTTTGGAGAAGCCTTCAAAAAGATGAACTTAAGTGGAGCTACTTTTCTCGTTATCATGTTTCCTCTTATTACCACCTTTCTTCTGAAGGAAAGAGCATTCCAAATTCTTTCATGGGATTGGGAAAAGATTATTTGTTTAATAGAGGAAAATCTTTCTCATGGCTACTTTCCAACCCCCTTTCATTAGTCCACATCCCTCTGCATCCCAAACTGAATTTCATGCCTACCTAAAGCTAGCAAGATCCTTAACCAATGCCAAACATTACTGTAAGAATTGGAGAATCTGCAAGTTAATTTCCTTTACTCCAAACAGAAGAGAGCAAATGGCAGGCAAGAAGGCTTCATGTTGGACCAAGGCCTCTCCCCTTCCATGGCTTCCTTTGCTGGCCCATCAGAGAAGGAGTCAAACCAAGAGAGAGCAGATGAGGGACATGTGACAGAGGCCAGCTAGGGGCCCTCAAAGGCACCCTAGCTTCTGGTGACCAAGGAGGCTGCCACCTATCATTAGTTAGCAGACTGTCTATTGATGCTCAATGTCTCTTGGAGGTATTCTATTTTGGGTCCTCATACCTCTCCTGGAAGCAGGCTGTTCAGCCTCCTTCATGCCAGCTGATGGGTGGGCTCATCCCCAAAGTTCTCTCTCTTGGCTCTTCTGCCAAACAGAAGAGCAGCCCATTCAAAGAGCAGAAGATGTCCATGGGGCTCCCTGGAGCCTCCATATCTTCACACTCAGCTCCTGGAATTAACCCTCAGTGGTATCATCTCATTGCTGCCCTCTTGACAGTCTGGCAGGCAGTAGTTAACAAGTGTTCATTAAGCATGGCATGCCCTGTGCTGAGCAGGCGAAGGAAGTCCTTTCTCCCAGGGAGCTTGAACTCTAAAGGGGAAAACCATGTGTAAATAGCCAGGAAGGCATTGTAGATAGAGGGGAATCTCAGAGGGGAAGGGGAGGATGTGAGCAGTAAGGGGAGAGGGGGCAGGAAAGGTCTCCTGGGGGAGGCAGGGTTTGATCTGAGTCCTGAAGGAGGCCCCTGAAACTAAAGGCAGTTGGAGAATGCTCTAGAGATAGGGACAAGCAGTGCAAAGGCGCAGAGGAGACTTAACACCTGCTCACTGGTGGAGTGAGTCAGCCCAGGATAAAAGAGCCAGCATTAATGTAGGGCTTGAAGGCTGACAAAGGGTTTTACAATTACTGTCTCATTTGATCCTCACAACGACCCTTTCTAGGTAGGTGCTATTAACATCCCCATTTCACAGATGAGGAAACCAAGGCAGGCAGCGATTCAGTGACTTTCTTGGAGTCACACAACCAGGAAATTGTCCGAGGCTGGATTTGAATTCAGTTCTTCTTGACTCTAGGTCCAGCACTCTAACCACTGTGCCACCTAAAATGCTTTTTTCCTTCTCTTTCTTTCTTTCCTTCTTTCCTCCCTTCCTTCCTTCCTAGTTGACCTCTGAAGTCCATTTTAACTCTTTCCAGTTTTTTTTTCTGAAATCATCCTGCTTGTCATTTCTCATAGCACAATAATATTCCGTTACAATCATATCCCACAGCTTGTTTAGCCATTCCCCAATGGATAGGCATGCCTTCCATTTCCAGTTCTTAGCCACCACTAAAAGATCTGCTGCAAATAGTTTTGTACCATGTGGATCTTTTTTCCTTTTTTATGATCTCTTTGGCATACAGACCACATAGGGGTATGGCTGGATCTAAGGGTATGCACAGTTTGATAGACCTTTGGGCATAGTTCCAAATTGCTCTTCAGAATGTAGACTGTGGGTTCTAAATCTTTTTTTTTTTTTATGCCTTAGACCCTTCTGGCAGTCAAGTGAAACCTATGGACCCCTTCTCAGAATGATGTTTTTAAGTGCATAAAAGAAATTATATAGAATTGCAAAGGAAATTGATTTTAGTGAAATACAGTTAGCCAAATATTTTTTTAAAAAAATTCACAGACCTAATTTTAAGAACCCCTGATGAAGACAAAAGCCAAACAGTCTTGGGCTGATCTATAGGCTAGTGTGGCTCTATATCTACCTATCATCTATTTATCAATCATCTATCTGTAGCATCATCATCTATCATCTCTATCTGTCTGTCCATCCATCTATGTGTCTGTCTGTCTGTTGTCTGTCTTATCTTGCTGTGGTTCTTCTCTAAGCCTCCTTTCTTTCCTTTGGAGAGGAGAGCACTATAGGGCACACATGCACTCTCTCTCTCTCTCTCTCTCTCTCTCTCACACACACACACACACACAGACACAGACACACACACACACACACACTCACACCAGGCCTCCCTTTTGCCTTTCTATTTCATTGACCAGAGGGCCTGAATTTGCATCTCCTCTCTACTCCTCCCTTGGCAGGTGGTTTCACCAGGCACTTGACGATCCTGATGTACAGAAGGAAGGGATTAGCCAGAGGTGTCAAGATTTATGGCCTTCCCCCAAGCAAGGGTCTGAACCAGATTAAAATGTCATTGGGAAATCTTTCACAAAATAATTAAAAATATAATACAGTATAGGGAATGCTAGTTTGTGGTTTTTTTCTTTTTTTGCATTGGACATCCCTGGCCTGGATCCTTTCCATCTGTAACAGTCAGCAAGCATGTATTAACTACCTATGTGCAATCTGCTGCACGCTGGGGATGATGGGAAGGGAAATGAAAACTCCTTCTCTCATTAAATAATAATAATATAAATAGGTCTTTCTGAGAATTTCAGAATTCAAGAGATAAAACATAAAATTATAATGATATTATGTAGCATAACATGTGCTAGGTGATATACATGCACATGTGTATGTATGTCCACCTATGTGTGCACACACATAAACACACATATGTATGAACATCTACATGTGAATATATGTGCATACATACACACCTATATGTAGGTGCTCAGGTTGTAGAAAGTGATCTCTTTCAGGGCAGGGGCAAATTTTCATTTTCAGATTTGATTTCCATTAGTAACCACTTAGCAAGTGCCAAATGAGTTGACTGAAGACTGGTTCTTCCTGTATTTCAGGTCTTATTTTGGTTTATTTCTGGTGGAGATGGTGATGCTCTCTGCTCCTTTGAGTTTAAGCAGGTGATGCTTGGAGGATCGCTGCAGTTCAGTCCTTGGTGGATAAGCCTGTCTCCTGGCTGTCATTTCTATGACCCTGTGGACAGGAAGAGGCAACTGATGCATGAACTTTGAGAACAAACCCCAAGCTGGGGTGTCTTCTGTCTTTTCCTAATGGAGGTAAAAATGTTCCTCTTTTCCCCTCCATCCAGATCTTGTACTGTACTTTAAGCACTCCCAAGATTGACATGGAAAGACTCTTAGGAGCACAAATCGGTCTGGAAGATTTCATATTTGCCCACGTGAAAGGAATTCAGAAAGAAGTGCATGTGTATAAATCAGAAGACGCCCTTGGCCTCACCATCACAGACAATGGCGCTGGCTATGCTTTCATAAAGGTAAGCTTTAGCTGATTCATTTTTACATGAATGTGTCACTATTGGAGTCAGTGGTCTTTAGAGGCTTCTCGTGGCCAGGCTACTTAGAGAACCATTGAAGGCATTGCCTGCCCAGAGTTCATCCCATTCTTCCCCAAGAATTGTATCCAATTAACAGTCTTCTTCCTGGGACTGTGGGGCTGACACAACATGGAGTGGGGAGACCTGTTCCGCACTGGGAGCATATTCAGCTCCACTCCTGACTTGCTACTCATCACTGGTGGGGTGGAGCTGCTGACTGTTCATTCTCTGTGCTGCCGTCTTGGTTTCTTTTAAATCCCTTTAAAAAATCTTTTCAACTATGAGGGAAATTAAACCCAGGGCCCTTGAATTTGTTTTTAAATATACCTTGAAAACTGTATTTTGATATATTTGATTTCCTATATCATATCTCCACCATGTTGACCCCCCTTTGTGAATTCTTTGGGAGGGTGGAAACTTCCATTTTGGGGACGGGCTTGGGCTGGCCAGTCTTCATTCCCCTTCTGGCTGGGCTTCTGACTGTCTGGACTTTTGCCTGAGGATCAGCACCTCTGGTGTGAGGCTTTTCCAGCCCTTTTCAGGACTGCTGATCCACCTTTTGTGTTCGCCTCTTACCCAACTCTCACCTGTGGCTCCAAGAAACTGTAGCCAGCAATGGCCACACCCCATAAAGCCACCTTGGCAGATGGGCTAAACTAGTTTGAGGGTAACCAATGGATGGGTCTCAAATCCATTGGTGAGGGATGTTTTCCCTAAGCATGTGAAGACTTCTCCCACCAGAATAAGGGCTGATAAGAACAATTTGTTCCAGTGCCATGAAGGTGGCTGAAGCAGGTGCTGTATGTAGAGTGCTTAGAGCTCGTTCAAATGCTGAAGATGCCAAGGTCATTCGCTACATTCTGAGCCATTGCCAGTTGTCTTGACTTTTATTCTGCCACTGGACTTCGATGACTCTGAAAGATAGAGTGAGGCTGACAACTTTGTGGAGCTCTGCCTCACTTAAATCCAATTCACACTCGAATCAAGACCACCTCTTGGTGTTACTGATCCTCTTCAAAACTGAAGGATGAACAACAATTCGTACCCTTAGTGCTTGTACAGTGCCTGGCATACAGCAAGTGCTTAATAAATGCTTGTTACATTGCAAAACATTATCCTGAGAGGGAGTTCATAGGCGGTGCCACGCTGCCTAAGAGGTCCATGACACAGAAATGGTCAAAAAGCCTGGAATGATATGGTTCCATAATGGAAACATAGGGTAGGAAGACCTGAAGGCAAGAGTGAGAACTTTGTTGGGAAATGAATAAGAAAGTCCCAGTGTTTTTCTTCAGTAATTTAGACTGATTGGAAGAGAAAGTCTTTATTCTAAAGTTTGAATACAGGTTGCTGTTCATAAGAGCATAGGTTCACTATGATGGAGTTCACCCTCCATTTCGTAAGAATTTTTTCAGTCCTGGTATCGTGACAGACCCTGTCATGTGGCTTTAGGTAGCAAAACAAAAAACCTGTCCCTTGTCCAGAAGCTTACATCCCCCCCCCCCCCCCAGGGATAAAACCTGTAAACAGATTTAATTCAACAGTTATTTCTTAATTGCCTACCTTGTGCTGGGCACTATGCTAGGTGTGGGTGGAGAGAGACTAAAGTGAATGTCTTGCCCTCGAGGGGCTTATGTTCTATAGTGTATATGGGGGGTCAGGTCGATGCACAACACGTCCAAACGTAATAAGTAAATAAAAAGCGATTTTACAGGTAGGGTCAACCACAAGTAGAGTGATGGGAAAACAGCTCGAGGAGGTAGAAATCCCTGACACTAACTGGGAGGACCAGGAGGTAGGGGCTGAACTGAGCCTGGAAAGGCAGGTGAAGAAGAGTGACTCCAGGCAAAGAGCTAGAGGCTGGAGACGAGGACCCACTGTTTGGTGTGAAGAGAGCCAGACTGAAGCGCTCTAAAGGCCAAGGCGAGGAGTTGGTGTGGAGGCCCCCTATTCATAGCCCTGCCAGAGGGATGACTCGGTCAGAAATCCTGGGGGTTGATGGAATGGAAAATCCTCGTGGTGGGAAAGTCATGCAGGATTATCTCTGGGAATTCAGGCCACGAGGCGGAGACTTCACTATCTCTGCAGCGTCGCCAGCCCAGGGGCCTCTCCGATGGGGGCATGACACTGGACATTCAAGGACTGCCGAGCTGTTGGCATCCACAGCAGGGCCTCGTGCTCGATCTCTTGGGGTGTGCCCACTTCCCAGTACTAGGCACCGTCCCTTTTTGGGTTGGAACGGCCATTGTGGGTGAGCAAGAGACTGGAGCCAAAAGTTCAGCAGCAAAGGCAGAATTGGAAAGGAAATAAGAAAGGAAGATTGTGGGGTTTTACAAACTGAGTTTAAAGTTTTCATAGAACGCAGGCAAGACTGCTGGGCTCGGCTTTAGGAAGACCTCAGCTTCAATCTTGCGGCTGAAGCGCTCCAACTGTGGCAATCTGGGAAAATTACTTAACCTTCTGTGCTTCAGGGGATCGCTTCCATAAGAGTTAGGGATGTTAGATCTTTATTGGTGGAGGGCTTTCCGCACCAAGAAATCCTGGATCCTTTGTTTACAAAGCTGTATTCAGGGACTGGGACGTGGGGAGGAGAAAGGAATAAATGACGAGCCCCCATAAACTAGGACGTGCCTTGTTCCGTTGGGGAAGGAGAACTTGAGGAAGAGGCCCTGAAATGGCGGTGGGAAGGCCTGACTTGGAACCTCCCTGTCCTAACAAAGGGATCTGGCTCCAGCACAGCTTCAGATGACAAGGAGGGAAAACCACTCAATCCCCAGTGTGGCTAACTGGGGAAAGGGAAGGGAATAAGGGATGTTTCTAGACGTTCTACGATGTGCCTGGCACTGTGCTGAGTGCTGATTGAGAAGAAACAGACACTTTCATTTATTTTTCATTTCTTTAAAAAAAAGTTAGGTGCTTAATTAAAATTAATTAAAATTTTGTCATCAGGCATCAGTGGAAGCAAATGTGTAACAATTGACATGTAAATTAAAGTATCCTAACCCTTTTCAGGGTTTCCAGCCTGGTAAGTCCTGCTCATTTTCCTTTTCTTTTCCCACCATATTGTTATTAGACGACTTTCGTTTCTTTGGTTCTGTACTGAAAACTTTGTATTATTTCATTCAGATGTCTGCAGGCTTTTGGGGTGTTCTTTATACTTGTCACTTTTAATAGCAATATAGGCGCTCCACTCCACGAACACAACATTTATTTGTCTTCTTTGCTTGGACATTTAGAATTTGGGTTTTTTTTTTGTTTTTTTTAGCTCATTACTATAATGTAGATATGAAAATCTTTGGTACAGTGGAAATAACATTGACCCTAAAGGTAGAAGACTCTGATGCTTATTTTTCTGTTTGAATGTGGAAAAGACGCTTAAGCTTCCAAGCCCTCAGTTTCCCTTCCTGTAAAAAAAGTAGGTTGCACTAAACATTATCTGAGGTCCCTTCAAGTTCCAAATCTCTGATTCTTTAAACAGGTAGATTTTTTTTGAAGGAGGGGGTTTGTTTTTGATAACATTTTCAAGGTATTTTCCCAGCAATGGCCTTTTGGGGTTCAAAGCTGTGATTATTTTTGCTCTGATTATTGTGTACTTCCAGATTGCTAACCCCAAAACACTATTCAATAGAGGTGCTTAACCTGAAGTCTGTGAAACCTTAAAAAATATAGAATTTGAGATCTGTATTTCAACAGAATGGGTTTTCTTTGTAAGCCCTTTGTATTCTTTGTAATTTTTTTGGTATGCATTTACAAACATGATTCTGAGAAGGGATCAGGTTGCCAAAGGGGGCCAGGACACAGACAAGGTGAAGGACCTGCTCTACCAAATGGAGCAGCAGCCACTTTTAAATGAAAAACGAGAATCAGGTCTGACAGCATCAGTCCTTTTTGGAAAGTGAAGGGAAGGGTGTGTGTTTTTCTTCTTCATTAAGTGGAGAACTATTTTATAAATAGGCATTAACCTCATTCTTTTCAGTGTCCCGCTTCTATCTATAGACATTTTGAAGATGTTATGGTGCTCTGTTGGAATAGGGCTAGAATGTCACATAGCCCCCGGCTCTCTCATTCAGGGGGCCGATCCATTTAAATAATTTCTTTGGGAGCTAATCGTGGCCTGGGCCAGAGGCCACAGAGAGGAGGAGTCTTCCTGCTCTCTTCCTTCCCCCGCTCCTCCCTCTCTTCCTCTTCACCCCACCTACTTGTACCTAGGCACATCATCTTTAGTAATAGTAATCATCTCTCTTTATCTTACTGCCCTCCCTCCCTCTCTGTCTCCCGAGATGGGCTCAGGGCCTGCTCAGTATTTCTCAAATACTTATAAGATCATCCTGTTGGAAGAGCCCTGCTTTAGAGACAAAGAATTTAGGTTCGAATCCCACTTTGGCTCCTCTCTACCTGTGGACCTTTGTCAAGATACTTTACCCCCTCAATGGACTAGACTGCTCTGAAGTTCCCTTCACTCTCTTTGTTCCTTCCTTTCCTTCTTTTTTCTTCCTTCTCCCTTTCTTCTTTTTTTTCCTTCCTTCTTTCCTTCCTTCCTTCTTTTTTTTCTGTTTTTGGTTTTTTTTTTTTTTTCCTAGCGAGGCAATCCAGGTTAAGTGAGTTGCTCAGGGTCACATAGCTAGTTAAGTGTCAATGTCTGAGACCAGATTTGAACTCAGATCCTCCTGTATCTCCACTCCTGCTCTATCCACTTCACCTCCTAGCTGCCCTGGTTTCCTTCACTCTCAATTGATGATTCTATTCAGCGCCAGGTACTTGGCACATGAAGGGGAAAAAAAGCAATGTAACCTGCCCTTGAGGAGCTCATGTTCTAATGGGGGAAGCAGTGCCTATACAGAGAGGAAATACAAAGTATTTTAGGGAGTGGGGAAAGGGGGAGAAAACTGGGAGGACCAGGATAGACCCTCCTGTAGGGAGTGACCCTGGAAGCTGAGGCTCAAAGGAAGATCAGAATTCTGTGAGGCAGAGAGGAAGAATGCATGCACTCTAGGTGGGGGCACAGCCTGTGCAAAAGTATGGAGAGGGGAAACAGCAAGCAAGTCAGTTTGGCTGGAATAGACAGGGTATCCCAAAGCTATTAAAGCTTCTCTAAGACTCTTGGGGATGCCCTGTACATCGCATGAAGGGGCATAATGGACAATCAAACTAGAAAGGAGATGATGCCAGGCTTCAGAAGTCAAGAAGAATTGTTTGTATTTTTTAGTTCAGTCAAGAGGGAGCTAGTGGGGCTTCACTGGAGGCAGGGGGCTATTTCCAGCAAGAAGTGAGGAGGGTCTGAAGGATTCTGGCATCCGGGCACCTGGAAGCCTGGATGGAGGCATGACCAGATAGGCATGTGCACTGAAGAACAGAGTTTGGAGAAAAAGCCTCAGGCTGGCCAGGGATCTTGCCTCAGTATTTTGTTGACTTTTTGATGTTTTGAATCTTGGTTTCATAATGATTTTTTTTTTTCCCACAGACAGTATGTGTCAGAGGTCTTCCTGCCATTCAGGTCAGCCCTCCCTTTAACCACTACACCACACTCTTTCCCTATATCTTGACCAGATTGTAAACCCTTTGAAGAGAAGGACCATAGTTTAATATTTAAGTCTCTTCTAGCATGTAGGATATAGCTTTGAGCTTTGTAGGTACTTGATGCTTCGAATGACTTGGTTTCCCCAGTTTGGGCACTTTCCTGGTGATCCCTTTTTGTCTTTTGCCTGTGGTCTAGCATGGCAGTTTTCTGAAATTCTGGCCAATAGTCACTGGGCTCCACCATCCTCAATTTGCCCTGTTAGAGTGTAACCTTCTTGAGGACAAAGACTATCCATTTTCACCTGTACTTTATGAACATCTGGCCATATCCCAGCTATTTTTTACTAGGAGGATGTGGACCCTTTACATGGAAAGTCATCTGGGTCTTTGGATAGCTGATATTTCTTGTGTTCTGTCGCTGCTAACCCTCTGTTGGCTTTTAGGGCCCTTCATGACTCAGCCCCTTCCTACCTTTCCAGTCCTTCTATATACACTTTCTTATGCCCCTCCACATACTTTGCCATCCAGTAACCCTGGCTTGGCATCCTGGTTCCTTCCCCTTTCCTGTCTCCCCCATGCCTGGAACTCTCTCCTGCCTTCTCTGGAATCCTTCAAGTCCCAGCTGAAATCCTACCTTCTACAAGAAGTCTTTTCCAATCTTTCCTTTTAGATGACCTCCAATTTATTCTGCATGTATCTTGTATATGTGTGGTTGTCTGTCCATTATTCACCCTATTAGATTGGCAGGTACTTGAGAGCAGGGACTTTTTTTTTTTTGTCCTTTCTTTGTATCCCCAGTTCTTAGCACCCAGTGCCAAGTTCACAGTAGGCACTTTATAAATGCTTGTTAACTTGATTTGCTATTCCCTTTTTCTTCGTATTATTATTATTGTGGGTCAATAGAATAATCCCTGTTTGGAGGGGCATGATTCCTTTCCTTTCAGGAAGGAAGTTAAACCAAATTAACTATCCACTGTCAGCAGTGACAAAGTGTCTAGGCTTTATTCAGATTTTCCCCCTTTCATTCTAAACCATCGATTATCTTCCTTGTCTATTTGAATTCTTCTTCAAAACCTTCACTTTCCCTTTTTAGCTTTTCCTTTAATTAATCTAATTCATCCAACTTTTCCCTTTCTCCAATGGTTGCTTAGTGGCTCCTTTCACTTGCCCAAGGGTACACTAGTGCTTGAAATGTAATCATTAATTAGGTAAATTGCTGTGCTCGGAGGAATCCAAAGCAGGACCTAGGGAAGACCAAAGCTAGGTTTTTTTCCAGTCCTTTTTGCGCTAAATGGGTTGGTGAAGATTATGTCTTACCCGGACCAAAGTTGTCTTTAGAGACCATTCTATTCCCAGCATTCGCTTTTCCTTTTGTCCCCAGAGTCTTTCCACTGACTGGATTTCATTGGGTTTTCTATGGGCAGTTAAGGAGTGCTCCCCCTCAGTTTCTCACTGTTCCCAGAGCAGCTGCTGTGACTTTCCAGGGAGACGCACACCCTGGCAGGCCACGTCTAGAGGGTGGGAGAGTTCAGGTTTCCTTTGCTTGATCCTGACCTCCTGGAGCTGTGTCTACAGGGCGGGGCATGATCAGGTTACTTTTGTGAAAGAAGTTAATTAACTCTTGGCCACGTTAGCGTGTGACAAACTAGTATTTTATAAGATTTTATAGCTTATGGAGAAGGCAAAGGGGAAGCCCAAACTGACTTTGGTATTAATGAACAAAGTAAAGAATGAGAAAAAAAAAAGCCACCTGGGTATCTCTCAATGAAGATTTTTTTTTTAATAGCAAAATACTGTTACAGAGATGACTGGTAGCACAACTTTTCCAACCTAATTTGGTCCAATAAGAATTTATTTAGTGAGTAATGTGTTCCATGTGCTGGGGACCTGAGGACCAGCCTAGAATGCATTGATGGGTTGATTGATTCTACTGGGGAGGGGGGGCAGATCACACTACAGGAAGACTTGAGCTCAAATCTGGCCTCAGATACTCCTAGTTGTGTGACCCTGGGCAAGTCGCTTAATCACTGTCTGCCTCAAATTTCTCCAGCTGTAAAATGAGGATAGTAATAGCTCCCACCTCCCAGAGTTGTTGTGAGGATCAAATGAGATAATATTTGTAAAACTCTTTGCAAACCTTAAAGAGCCATATAAACACCAACTATTTTTATTGTGATCTGCACCCAGGAATGTACTGGAACCAGTTGTAACAGCTCACTAAAGCTGATTGTTAAATTTTCATTGTGTGCATTTACACTTTGGAAATCAGAAAACACTACAAATCAGGGCTTGATATGTAATTTTATTGATTTTCTAGACTTGAGAAATTGATGGAGAAAATCGTAGCAATGCTGAATAACTTAAAAATGTGCTGTATGCACATTTTGGGATGTTGGCTTTTTTTTTTTTTTTTAGGAAGCAGTAGTGTTAAACATTCACCAGCACCCCCACCCCCACCCTCCCACCTGTGAAGGCAGAGCCCACGCTGATAAAATCCCAGGTCCTTTGTGGAACTGAAGTGAGAAAGAGGTCATCTGCAGGTTGAAATAGACTGAGTCTGACCAGGTATTTCAGAAATATGATTAATGCCTGTGTTTTAGGCTTCCCTGCACCCGGTAGGACAGAACCTGCTGCTCTAGGAAGTCCCATGATGAGAACTCTCAAGTTAAGGACATTCCTTCATACGCCAGGCACGCTTATATGCTTGGATCTGCCCCAACACTTTCAAATCAATGTTGTCGGCGACGTTTAGAATTCTTCTCAGAGGGATTATGGCGCTGGGGTCCAGAGCTAACGGGACCATGAAAAGGGTCCTTTGAAAAATACTTTTGAAAAATTAGAGGAGTCGCTTGAGAATGTTGTTACATGTTTAATGTGCTTTTCCCCAACAGAGAATTAAACACGGCAGCCTGATGGACACAGTGAAGACCGTCTGTGTGGGGGATCACATCGAGGAGATAAATGGCCAGAACATCGTTGGGTGGCGGCACTATGATGTCGCCAAGATGCTCAAAGAGCTAAAGAAAGAGCAGTCATTTTCGCTCAAGTTGATAGAGCCTAAGAAGGCTTTCGGTGAGTATTTACAGTGCTCGATGAGTCTTTGCCACAGACTCGCCAGTGACCGAAGTAGGCGAGGTGGCCGCCCTTGGGTCTAGACCTCTGCAGCCGTCCTCAGCACTTCCTGTAAGAAAGAGAATGGCTGGGCCCTGGGCCCAAAGGCTCCGAGAGGCCATAGCACCACCCACCTCCTCTTTCAAGAGGAGGAAACTGAGGCCTCGGGACTTGCTGGAAAGCCTCAGGTCTCCTGGACCCCGAGTCCCTTTCTCTGTCGGCTGTACCAGGCTCTTGGAAAACGGGCCGCCTTTTAGCGGGGAGCACCTCCAAAGTAGCTTGGAGCTCTTCCATCCCTCAACGTGGCCGGCTGAATTCTAGGCTTCCCCAGAAGGCAGCTGCTGCTTGGACTCAATTCTTAGATTCAGCAGAAGTGGCTGCTTTGTGCTACGCACAGAGTTAGAAATAATACCATTTTCTGGCCCCCTGGCCGCTTTTCAAAGGCCAGAAGGAAGCTTCCCCTTGGGAGTGACGTCCCTCTTTGCCTGTTCTGGCTCCAGCAGTGCTTTCCAGCCCGGTCTTCAGCCCCACCCCCTGCTCTGGGGACATTTTTTCTCAGCCAGGAAACCATCTTCTTGGGTCTCTTAACATCCAACACCATTTGGATGGCTGCCTCTGATGGCCCCCTCTCTAGTCAGTGGAACCTATTTCAAGGCTGCAGTGACTCCCGGGCGGGGGCGGGGGGGGGGCGCGGGTGGTGGTGGTGAGCCACCTGCCACCCCTGCTATTCTGAGCCCACAAAGAATGCTAGTTTGTTGGTTACTTATAGGCAGAGAGGGGAGAATGACTCTCTTGCTCTGAAATGTGAGTGGTGGATTTGGGGAGATTGAGCGAGATTGAAGGTGGGTGGATGGAACAGTGGACAGGGCTCTGGACGTGGTCATGAAGCCCTGGGTTAAAACCCAGCCTCAGACACTTACTGGCTGGGTGGCCCTGGGCAAGGCACTTCACTGCCATCTGCCTCAGTTTCCTCAACTGTAAAATGGGGACAATAATAACACCTGCCTCCCAGGGTTATTGCGAGGGTCAAATATGATAACATTTATAAAGTGCCTGGCACACAGTAGGTGCTCTAGAAATGTGAGCTATCACGATGAGAAATCGCAGGACTTGAGTTCAAATCCTAGCTATGCCATGTGGAGCCTGAGTCACCTTGGGCCTTAAATCTACAATTCTGTGCTCTGAGGACACTCATGGCACAGAATGTTTTCTTGGTTTGGCCCATACCACAGGCATGGCTGATGGACACTTGGGTGCCCTGCTCCATGTTGGCCCCAAATTGATGGAGTTTCGGCCTGAAACATAGTGATGCCACCCCGAGATCACATGTGTGTGCTCATACATCATGATCGGAGTGGGTAGGAGCCCCAGGAACCCACCTGGGCTAACCTGTCAGTGGGACCATGCATGTTCTTCTGGGCATGGTACTTCTATGTACCACGTTATTCCAGGCATAGTGTACATAGCATCTGTATGTGGTACAATGTTCTGGGTGTGGCACTTGCATGTAGCACAACATTCCACAAATGGTACTGACACGGAGCACATTACAAGGATGGTACATGCATGTAGCACAATGTTCCAGATATGATACATGTATGTAGCATAACTTTCCAGAGTATATGCATGTAGTACATTATGCTGGGGACAGTAAATCCAGGTAGTATCCCATACCAGGGATGTTACATGCATGTAGTACACCATTCTGGGGAAGGTAGATGCATGTAGTATGACATACTGGGGATGGCACATATATGTCACATGCTATGCCAGGGATGGTACATGTATGTAGTATAATGTTCTGGGCACAGTAAAGCCTGTTCTCCCCCCTCCCCATCCTGTGCAAGTTTCTTTGACTTGGTCAAGTCTGCTAGTAGTTCCTAATTTTGTGCCTCTGGTGACAGCCATTTTGGGCCACATGCCCCCATTTCATATCAGTTCTTATAATATTAGGAGTTCGGATTCAGAGCTGGAAGCAAACTTAGAGCTCATCTGATCTGATCCCTTCCTCACTCCCATTTTTACAAATGAGGAAAGCATGTCAGAGGCAGAATTTGAACCCAGGTTCTCTGACTCCAAAGTCCTTGTTCTTTTCCCTGTAACCTCTTTGCTTTCTAAACAAACAACCTCAAAGTTGACATTTTTACAGCGTTTTTAAGGTTTTTGAGACATCTTATATACATTATCTGAACCAGACACTATTGATAGAAATATTTTGGGTTTGCAGATGAAGAGATCTGATTTCAGAGTAGTCCAGTGATTTACCCATGGTCACAGTAAGTGGTGGGAGTGGGTTTGAAGCCAGGGCTCTAGAAGGCCATGCAGAGGGTACTGGCAGCGACTTCAGTAACCCTCTGATTGCAGGCAGATGCTGAGGACACTCTGATACATTCTCAAGGGTGCACTTCTTGGCACAACTCACTGACACCCAAGGGTCAAGGCATCTGACCTTTCCCTGCTGGACCTTGTTGCAGGATTGTGGCTCCTATAAAGTCTGCTTTTGAGATGCTTTTGGTGGCCTCAGTATACCCAAGTGCTTTGTTGGGTTGACCTGTGCTCCCTCCTGGCTGGCCCCTTCTGATCTGGACCAGGAGGTCTGGGCAGCCCGCCCAGCCCTTATCAGGCAGTGACTGGAATGCTTCCTGGGAAATGGTTTTAAGGGTAGAGGTCACTTCCTTTCCCTCTTCTGCCCTTCCCAATGACCTCAGCCCTGTGAAGTTGGCCTGTAAAACTGAACATTTTCCCAAGGCTATGGAAATCTGTTCACTCCTTTAAAGGTCTAGGCCTTGCCCTGGCTAATTAACCCTTTGTAGGTTTTAATAGCACAGAAGTCACTGCCAAACCCTGGGGGTGGAAAAAACTGTTGGCTTAGTTTGGTCAATGATGAGCTTGGAAGTCAGATTGTAGAGAGTGAAGAAGAAAGTGAGAGGACAGGAGGTGATGGCAAACCTCCAGGAGAAGTGCAGTGACCTGCCCAGGGTCACACATCACAGCTAGTTACCGTCTGAGGTCAAATGTGATCTCAGGACTTCCTGACTCCAGGCCCAGTGCTCTATCCTCGTACCACCTGCTGCCTCCATGATGGTGATAGGACAAGGGGGTAAGAAGGGGAGGGAATTCAGAGAGGGGAGGATGGTGTGGAGTTTACAGAGTGGAAATGGGAAAAAAAGGAATATGAAGTCAGAGCAGGGAGATGACTAGGGAAGGTCCTGGAGGGCAAGAGGTTTAGAGGTGGGCCATGGGATAGGCGGTTTGGGTCATGGGATGGTAGGCAGTTTGGGTCAACTAGAGGGTCACCAGAGTCTGTGACTGAGGAAGGGGAAAGCTCTTCCTTGAGGTCCAGTGTGAGACCATTCCCCATATGTGGCTGAGGTGGAGTGAAGGTGGAGAGGCTGAGGAATTAGGAGGTTAGCAAGCTTAGAAGGTCGTGACCCAGGGATAGAACTCCTTGAGAGAACTGGGGAAAATGACCCTGGGCTGGCTTATAGCATCCACCATGATATGTATGTGGCAGAAATTACTGAATGAACTTCCAAGGAGAAGAGGCAGATGGACAAGAGATGGCAGTAAAGAGAGTGTCTGGTGATTAGGAGGGAGGAGTATTGGGGAGCCCCCTCTGGGACTGGCCACATGGGTGCCACAATGATGTTCTTAAAGATTGGGTCTGAGCATGTAACTCTTTTGTTCAGTAGACTCCAGTGGTACCTTATTGATTCTAGAACCATATGTCTATCTTTAGCTCAACATTTTACATGTGATTTTTGTTTCTAAGTTTTGTAATGCACACAATTATTGGCACTTTAGGACACGATATACTTTATAAATAGTTAAATGTACAAATATTGGGGGGGCTGTGATCAACTTTTTTTTTTTACTAATAGATGTTATTTTTTCCTAACTTATTCTATATATAGCTTGTTTGTATATAGTTGTTTGCATGATGTCTCCCCTTTGGGTGGAGAGCTCCTCCCCGGCAGGGTCTGTCTTTTACCGTTCTTTGTCTCCCCAGAGCTTAGCACAGTGCATGGCGCACAAGAAGTGCTTAATCAATGATTGTTAACTGACTGCATGATCAAAAAAGTTTGGATACCCATTTTCCAGAACACTTAGAGTCTGGTTTCCATTGCGCAATGATCGATTATCCCTAATTATTTCACATCCATATCCATAGTTTCCAGCCTGAGCCTCTGAGATCTATGTGGTAAAGCACCTTCTTATACTTAGTCTGTGAAGCCCATGGTGCTTCTCAGAGTCTTAAAAGGTAGTATGGCATAGTAGATAGCACGCTGCACTTGAGCTCAGGAAGACTTGGGGTTAGACACCAGCAGGAAGGACCAAGCTACCTATTAGCAGAGGACTCAGCCCATTTGCAGACAGGCCAGTGTTTATAAATGCATCACAGGGCATCGTGGTTGCAGTAGCTTGAATGGGATGAAGGAAACCTTTCTTACCCAATCAAGAATATATATGTGTATATATATATTTGATGATAATGATGTCACTTCTGGGCTTGTTTCTTCCCGTGTAAAATGGAAGTTAGATTAAATACAATTCCAAGTCTCCAGGAGCCTGAAGAAACTTGCCAGACATTGACGGAATAGGGTTTAATTTAGCTTTCCTTTGGTGACACCAAGTGGTCAACTTTGGTCTAGTCTCGTACAGTTCTTTTCTGTGGGCATTATACATTTTTTACTTTATCAGAACCAGATAAGTCCTTTCCTCTGATTACTTAGGCGCTGCCTAAAGGTTTGCAGATTAGAAGTGGTTCCCAAAGGCAAAATATAGGGAAAACTTCAGGAAAATTTATTCATTTTAGAATAGATGGGGAGAGTTACAGGATTTAGATTGAGGTCTTCAAATTTGATAATTCTATTTATTTTATGACTTTATATTGCTCTCACCCAACTCCTGAAAGGATGTCTTAATATATGGTGATTTTTTTGTTTTAAGTTAGTGTGAATGAAATTAAGATAAATTTCTTTTTGAGATATTGAGAATTTAATAAAGATCTCTTGAGATCATTGAATGAACATAAATAACAATTATTGTCATTCCATTCCATTCATTCATTCTTTTTTAAAATTTATTTACTTTTCATTTTTCAACATTCACTTCCATAAGATTTTGGGTTTTAAATTTTCTCCTCTTTCCTCTCGTCTCTCTCCTCCCCTCAAGACAGCGTGCAATCTGAGATAGGCTCTATTTATACATTCATATTAAACATATTTTCCCATTAGTCAGGATGTAAAGAAGAATTAGAACTAAGGGGAGGAACCACGAGAATGAAGCAATAAAATAAAACAACAAAAGAAAAAGAGAGCGTCATTTGTTCATTCTTGGGTCATTAGCAACTTCTTGTGATATCATGAGAGTCCTATTGTCAATTATTACTATAATCTTAGGAATATTGACTGGCGTAAAAATATGACATTTATCTCATTGACATCTCATCAGTATCTTAGTCTTTTTTATTGTCTACCTAACACTTTGCTCCTCTTTAAGGCATGATATATTAGAAGATCTGTATGTGTGTCCCACTTTCCACTAGTCTCTATGAAAGGAACAGGGAATCTCCCCTGTTTAAATTAAATGTTGGGCCTCCTCCAGTGCCTAGGACAGTGTTTTGCACATAGTAGGAGCTTGATAATTTAAAAAAAAATGGAATAATGAAGTGTAGCCAAGTTCGAATAACCTAAATTGGCAAATAATCAAAAAATAATTCTGAAATTGTTGAATATTAGATTTGGAATGAACCACAGAGACTCTGTAGTTCAATTTGCTCATTTTATAGATGAGAAAAGTGAGACCCAGAGTTGCAAGTTGCTTCGGTGGGAAGGGGTTTATGGGAGAAGAAGGACCCAGTTTCAAGGAGCAGGAGGCATTTTGAAAGGAGATTTGGAGGGCTTGGGAATTGTGAGGATGGCCAGGGATTGAAATTTGGGGAGGAGAAACTTGAAGAAACAAGAGGTTGGAGCAAAAGAAGAGTGGTCAGAGCCAGAAGGGACCTGGGTGAGCACTTGGTCTAACCCATGCCTGAAAAAGGATACTGTCTCCACCCCCTGTCCTCCCCCTTCTCCATGGTTGTCTGGCTCTGGCTTCCTCCTCTGGCCAGGGGAAACATCTTGTTTACAAAGTCAGCATGTCTAAGACATGATATTCACCCCTCCTGCAAATGTCCCTCTTTTGGTGCCCTGTTGGACCATGCCTTTTCAGTCTCTTGGGCAGTCACCATAGGTTTACAACCTGGAAGTCAGCCCTGACTCTTCCTTCTCCTTCCACGCCCCACATTCAAAGAGTTGTGAAGTCCTGTTGATTCTATGCTCCTGGCATCTTTTGCCTCCATGCCCTTCCCTCCATTCACATGGCTGTCATTTGAATGTGGGCCCTCATCTTTTCTTGCCTGAACCACTCCAGTAGCCTTCTAATTGATGTCCCGGCCTCAAGTCTCTTCCTACTCCCATCCATGCTCTCACAGCTGCCAAAGTGTGACCAGGGTACTCCTCTCTGCAAGAAGCTGAAGTGACTCCCTCTGACTTCTAGTATAAAATGCAAAGTCCTCTGTCTGACCCCTATCTGTCCTGGCTTATTGCCACCGCCTCCTCCTTCCAGATACTCTGGTCCACTTCCTCTTCTATGCAGATTACAATCCATCTCCCACCTCCGTGCCTTTGCAGGGGGTGTACAGGTATTCAGGGAAGACGAGCACCTCTGGTGTGGGAGCTGCTTATCCACCTTTGGTGACCCTCCTGTCACTCAGCTCTCACCTGTGGCTCCAGGAAGGCAGCCAACCTTTGCAAGGGTTGCCCACGCACCCCCCGTGTCTGTCACGAGCTCCCTCCTTGCCTCGGTGTTACCTCCTAGAGGAGGCCCTTCCTCATCCTTTCCCCCATTTTCAGTACTCACTACCCTCCCCCACAATTGCTTTTATTTATTCTGAATGTGATGAATACATTTGTGTGCATGTTGCCTGCTGCCCCCAGTGGGATGCAACCTTCTTGGGGAGAGCACTGTTCCACGCTTGTCTTTGAATTCCCAACGTGTAGCCAAATGCTCAGCACACAGCAAGTCAATGTCTCTTTCCTTAGGCTCCTTTCCCTCCAATGTGTCCTTTCCAAACGATTCCTCGAACTCTTCGTGTGAGTTGTCTAGACCGCTGGATAGTCCTGTCACCTCTTTAGAAATGTTGACACATTGTCCATTAGCATAGCTTGGTGCCAGAGGGTTTAGAGCTTGAAGGAACTTTAGGGAATGTTCTGTTCCTGCCCCTCATTTTATAGACCACATACCTAGAGCTGAAGGTGCTTCAAGGGCACCTTGGCCGATCTCCAACCAAGTGGAATCCCTGAGATCATCCAAGTGTTAAGTGACAGAGACAGCCTTTGAACCCCAGGCCTCCTTCTACTGAGAAATCAAAACTCAAGTATTTGTGAATTGGTACTTTAATGCAGAGCCTGGCACACAATAGGTGCTTATCTTTTGTACCTGGCTGTCTCTCTTTACGGCTCTGAAACCCCTTCTCTTAGAGCATTAAAATCAGTCTACCCTTGCAGGCAGGACTGAGGTAGATATAGATGTAACTGGTGTCCAAGGACTTGGGTTCAAATTCCAGCTTTGCTGCTTACTACATGGTTGTTCTTGAGACTTAACCCTCTCTGGGTCTTGGTTTCCTAATATGTAAAAGGAGAGGACTGGTCTCGGTGGCCCCTGATGTCTTTTCTAGTTCTAAACATGGGCTTCTGTGACACTCACCACTCTCTTCACTTTGGTTGTTGTTCAGTTGTTTTCAGTCATTTCTGACTCTTCAAGACCCTGTTTGGGTTTTTCTTGGCAGGAATGACTGGAATGGTTTGCCATTTCCTTCTCCAGCTCATTTTTACAGATAAAGAACTGAGGCAAACAGGGTAAAATGACTTGCCCAGGGTCACACAGCTAATAAGTGTCTGAGGCTGGATTTGACCCCTGGTTTTCCTGACTCCAGGCCCTGAGTTCTATGCACTGGTCCGCCTAGCTTCCCCCCTCTTCACTTTAGGGATAAGGCGCTGTTCCCTCATTGACAAAATGAGCTGGAGAACGAAATGACAAAGCACTCCAGTATCTTTGCCAAGAAAACCCCAAATGGGATCATGAAGATGAAAAATGACTGAACAACATGATTGCCAACCTCAGTCTTCTCCACAGCTGCCCTGTGCCCTTCTTACAGGGCTGAGCCAGCATTTATTAAGCACCTGATGAGAGCCCACAGACACAGAGCTAGGCCTGGGGCAGGGGTACAAAGAAAAAACAAGAAACAATTCCTGCTCTCGAGGAACTCATAGTCTGTGGAGGGGAACAGTGTGCAAACAACTATGTCCATTCAAGCCCTATAGAGAGTGAATTGGAGGCAACCTCAGAGGGAATGATAATGATAACAATAACAACGATAATAATACTAACTAGTACTTATACGGAACCGGGAGATTTGGGCAGCACTTCACAAATATTACCTCATTGGATCCTCACAACAATTTGGTTGCCGCTATTATTACACCCGTTTTATAATCGAGGAAATGGAGACTCAGGTTAAGCGACTTGCCCAGGGTCACATAGCCAGTAAATGTCTGAGAGTGCGGGTGGGATTCCAGACAGTGTATTTTTCATCATTGAATCTGTGTATGAACTAGGGAAGAAGGACTGTTACTTTCATCTTGGGGAGCAAGTACAGCGGTAATAATAACTGACATTATGGAGCCCTTTACGGTTTGTAAGATGCACCTTTCCAGTCTCTCTTTTGGGCCACAGCAGCCCCGGGAAGGAGGTCATGCACAATTATAACCCCATTTTGTGGATGAGGGAACTGAGGCCGAGGAAGATGAAGTGGTTTGGCCCAAAGTTACCCAGTGGAGGGGCTGGGACTTGAAGCAAGGTCTCCTGACTCCAAGTTCAGGGCCCCACCTGAGTCACCGGTCTACACCCAGAACGCTTTGTCCTTCAGGGCTTTTTGTAACTGGGGCTGGTTGTTGGAGCAGGCAGGCCGAGTTTGGTCTTTTAGCAAGCTGTGCAATCTCACGAACCCGATTCATTCTGTTCCTCGTGTCTTTGTTTATAGAAATACAGCCAAGGTCGGGGACTGGGAGGACGACGGTTGGAAATATCGCCTCTGGCAAGGGAACCCTACGGCTGAGATCAAAAGGTCCCGCCACTGTAGAAGAGCTGGTAGGTTGGGGCCGGGCTTAGGACTCTGAAAATCTGCAGATGTTGGCGGGCGGGGGAGCTGGACCCGGGCCGAGGTCGAGAGAAGGAATCAGGCCGCCCCGCTTCCGAGAGCGTTGGTGCGCCTTTGGAGTCAGGGTAGAGGCTGGGGTTGCTGAACGCTGAGAAGGAACCAGAGCAATACGTTTCGGCTCGTCCTTCAGCTGGGGTCAGGGGACAATGGGATCCATCGAGAAACTTGGGCGACCCAGAACGTCGGGCTCCCGGAACGCGCTAAAAATAACGAAAAGAAGGAAAGGCTTCTTGGGCAGTGATGGGGCAGTCCAGGCAGGACTGAGACTCACTCAGAAGGTGGAACTGTGAGGCGCAGGCAAATAAATCCGGAGAGACGAGGGAGTGGGCAAATTGGAAGGGACGCCTTGAAATTCAAAAATTCTTGTTAAAAATTTATTCGGTTTTGCTTCCTATTTGCAAGTCGCTGTGCTGGGTGTTAGGGACACGGAGACAAAAGGAACAATTTCTGCCCCCATGTATCGGACTATCCTAGATTTAGAGCTGGAGAGACCTCAGAGGTCTGTTTTACAGATGAAGAAACTAAGGTTAAGTTAACCAGCTGGAAAGTGTCTGAGGCAGTATTTGAACTCAGCTCTTACTGACTCCAAACCTGGAGCTCTATTCCCTGGGTCACCTGGTTGCCTTTAGGTAGCTAGAATGAACCTGGTTTCCACAGCACCATGATGGCCTTGAATTCATGCCGTGGGAGAATCACTTGAAGAATCCCAGAGAAGAGAGGGCTTAGGGAGGACATAATCTTCGTCTTCAGGAATCTGAAGGGTTGGTTTGTGAAAGAAGAATTTGGCTTATTTTGCTTGGTCCCAGAGGGCAGAAGTAAAAATAAGAGGAATAAGTTCCCGAGAAACAGATTTTGGCTGGGTATGAGGAAAAACTTTTCAATAATTGGAGCCAACCAGAAGAGGAAAGGCCTTGGACAAAGTGACTGAATGATGCCTGGAGGAGTACATTGTGCAGGGGATTGTAGACCTCCACATGGACCTCTGTGGCCCCTGACAGCTGGAATTCTGTGACAATTAATGGTGTGGAAAGTTGGCCATATTATGTCTGTGAGGTGGTGCTGGGGCAAGTGCCTTGGTGGACCTTTGGGACTGAGAGCCCCGGGATGCCTTTTACAAGAAGTCACGCCCCCTTCAGTGTCCCAGGCAGTGTGTGCTCAATCTGATCCCTGGGAGCACACAGGGACTCAGAAGACCCCAGGCAAACACGTTCTGCTGTCTTGTGTCTTTTGCTAGACATTTCCCTATAATGTTTTGGTCTGGTTCAGGACTGTTGTGGTCATGTTTGACACCTCTGTCTGTACTGTTGGCAGCATCTTCTGCATGTCGAAGAGCTCATGCCCAGCATAATCACCTAGGCTAATTAAGTAAAACTTAAATTATGCTAATTATCCTATATTTATGAGGGCAGAGTAGAACATCATCCCTTATCCAAAGTGTTTTCACAAAAGCTTTTCGAAGAAAAAATACAACCTTCAAAGAGTCAATCCCACGTTTTCTGGGAGCTGAACCTTGGTACTGTTGGCTAAGGGTTCTGAACAACCATCTTTGTGGGAGGGCTCAGTTAGCTTCTAGATGGAAAAAGGCCTTGTGTATTAAATCAGACGATGTTTGTGAGAGCCAGTAGGGACCCAAGGCAGGCCCAGCGAGTGTAGGTTGTTATGGTTTTGCCAGTAAGATAACATTCTTTTTCTCTCGTCTTTAATAAAGCCTTCAGAGTCAGATGAGAAAGCCATTAAGAAGGTGGATTCTTTTCTGGAATTATACCTGGGTGTCGGAGATATTGAACTAGGTAAGAATTTGCAATTTATAAATAATGACTTTTTATACCTCAGTCCCACAAATTCAGTTGTATTTATTGCTAACTTGTAATTATATCCAAAGCTATAATTGTCAAGGTAATGAGAGATGGCCTTGGCAGAGATGACCCCAAATGGCAGATTAAAATATGGAAATTAGGCATAGGTAATGAAGGCTAAGTGTTAGAGAAAGAAAGAACTGTGTGTGAATGTCAGATGGAATTGCTCTGTGAAGGAGTATGGTGAATCTTTTTTTTTTTTGTAGTAAGTAGTATTTTATTTTTTCCAACATGTAAAGATAGCTTTCAACATTCATTTTTTAAAATAAGATTTTGAGTTCCAAATTTTTCTCCCTCCCTCCCTCCCTCCCCTTCCTTCTTGTCACAATGGCAAGCAATCTGATACAGGTTACACATTTTCAATCATGTTAAACATTTTTCCACATTAGTCATGTTGGGAAAGGAGAAACAGAACAAAAAGGAAAAGCCATGAAAAAGAAAAATGAAAAATAAACAAAAGTGAAAACAGTAGGAGTGTGCCTAATCTTTACAAGGTAAGTAAGTGCCTTAGTAGCAGAGACTAACCACTCAGGGTGTGTGACCTTGGGGAAATCCCTTAATCTTTGCTTTCTCCTCTATAAAATAATGGGTGGGCATTTAAAGCTGTTCACAGTCTGGCCTACCCTTCAGGCAGCCACATCTGCTAACCTCTCTAACGTGCCTTTCAGGTCCTTTACACTCTTCCTTTCTAGCAAACTACAGTCCGGTGAAACCAAACTGGCTAGTTTCTGTACATAAACTCTCTGCCTCCCATCTCCATGCTTTTGCAATGGCTATGCCCTGTGCCGGGAATGCACTCCCACTCACTCAGAATCCCCAACACCCACTTTCACACGAAGGCTTTCCTGATCCCCGGGTGCTAGTGCCTTCCCTCAATTTACCTGGTGGCAAATTGGTGCCCATTTTGTTGGTGTCTCCCTCTATGTGTGCATGGGCTCTTCACTTTGCTCTTTGTGTTTCCAGTGACTGACTAGCATGGGATCGCTTGGAGGGTGTTCACCAAGATCTGAGTTCCTTAGCTTGGGCTCATTTCATGGCTTCCTGAACTTGGGTGGGAAAAAATCAACTCTTTATTTTCATCACCCTCTGACAGAAAGTGAGCTATTCCTTCGAAGACTTGTGATGGAGGCTCTGAGCTTCCCCAGCCTGGCCAGGGCTCCAGGACATGGGGCCATCCCCTGGCTGAGTGGCTCCCCTTCCTCTGAGCACCTCTGCACCAGATAAAGAAGTTGAAGGGCGAGGGCTCTCCTTGCCTGTTGCTTGGAGGAGGTGATTATGTCCCACTGACACTCACCCTGACCTGACACTCTCAGGTTCCCCCTTTTCCCTTCCCCTCTTTCTTCTGCTGTTTTCTGCTTTCCTTCCTTTCTTCATCAGACTCTTGCCTGCCCTGTCTTTGGTTCTTAGATTGTGCTTTGTGACTGATGTTTCTTTTCAGAGCAGAAAGAACCCAGACGTTTTAGGGTGAAGCCAGTTCAGTTGTTGTTTGTCCTTTGTTCTCGGAGAGGACCATAACGTCATGGAGGTGATGCCATGACATGCAAATGAATTGGATTACAGTGAGGGAGGACTGTGCAGGGTCACAGCCTCACTTTCTCCTCCGGAGCCATCTGGGTCCAGTGGCCAGATACATATGAGGATGCCTAGAGCTGGCCCCAAATGCAGTGGAAGACCTTGGCCTTTTAAAGCTGAGGTCTTGGGGCAGCTAGGTGGCACAGTGCATAGAGCTCCAGCCTTGAAGCCAGGAGGACCTGAGTTCAAATCTTGCCTCAGACACTTGACACTTAGCTAGTTATGTGACCTTGGGCAAGTCACTTAACCCCAATTACCTAAGCTAAAAAAAAATAAAGCTAAGGTCTTTAGTAGGTCTCAGTTGGACAACTGGTCATCCAGTTTGTGCTTGGATCCAATAATGGGGGACTTACTCCCTCCCATGAAGGGAAATTTTAGCTTAGTTGTCTATCTCCCAAAGGGCCTCCAAGGCCCCTGACACCTGAGATTCAGTGAAAACTAATTTTGTGCCCCTCTCCCTAATTTTGTTCTTCAGTTGTATCCATCTTCTCATGATCCCATTTGAGGTTTTCTTGGCAGAGTGATTTGCCATTTCCTTCTCCAGTGCATTTTATAGATGAGGAAACAGGCAAATGGGGTTAACTGACTTGTCTGGGGTCACAAGCTAGTTAGTGTTTAAAGGTCAGGAAAATGAATCTTCCTGATTCCAAGTCCAGTGCTCTGTCCACTTCATCACTTGGCTGCCCCTCCCTCACTCACCCAGGACTGGCTTTCTCTCCATTTTGTAGACCTTTCCCTCCATCTATGTACATTGTCTCCCATAACTAGACTCAGTTGTTTGAGGATAGAGACTTTTCTCACTGGTCTTTGAATCCCCAGTGACAGTGAGTCTAACCCTAATTCCACTTTTGGAGAGTTTTATTAGTAAGTTTTCCCCGAAGCTACACCTAAATGCTGCCATTCACACTTCCTATGGCTCCTGGTTCTGCCCTTTAGGACCAAACAACAAATGTGGTCCCTCAGCTACCTCATGAATCTTCACAGAGTTGGTGACAGATAATGCTGGTTGTTCTGGGTCTCCTTTAGCCCAAATGCCCCTGTTCATCAAATACTCCTCCTATCTCATGGAGGCTCTCCTTCCACCTTCCTGGGTGTTCTCCTTTGGGTGCTTTCTCTTTGATCAGTGGCCTTTGCAAGAGGTCTGACAAGAGCAGAGTAGGGAGGGAGAGAACAGGAATTTATCAGGTGACCACTTTATGCCAGGCATTGTGTTAAGTGCTTTGAAAATATTTCATTTAATCCTTACAACAACTTTGGGAGGTAAATTGGGTTATTATCCCCATTCTAATAGTTGAGGGAACTGTGGCAGATAGAGGTTAAGAGACTTGCCTAGGGTCATGCAGAGTTTGAGTCTGGATTTGAATTCAAGCCTTCCCGACTCCAGGCACAGCATAGAGCTCTATCCACAGGACCACTAGCTTCCAGAGTAACTATCATCTCCTATGGCCATTTTAATGGCCCCCAGCAGTGAATTCCCATTTTTTCAACTTTTTAACATTTTTATTCAAAGTTTAGAGTTTCAAATTCTGTTCTTCCCTCCTTCTCTCCCATCCCTCTTCCCTGAGACAGTAAGCAATTATATACAGGTTGTACACATGCAATTATGTAAAACATTTCTATATTAGTCATTTTGTACAAGAAGACTCCAACAAAAGAAAAAAAGTGAAAGAAAGAAAGTGAAGAGTAGCATGCTTTAGTCTGTAGTCAGACATATCAGTTCTTTCACTGGAAGCAGATCATATGCTTCATCGTTTGTCCTTTGGGATTGTCTTGGATCATCATATTGCTGAGAATAGCTAAGTCATCCACACTTCTTCATTGCACAATATTGCTGTTACTGTGTACAACGTTCTCTTGGTTCTGCTCGCTTCACTCTGCATCAGTTGATGTAAACCTTTCTAGGGTTTTCTGAAATCATCCTGATTGTCATTTCTCATAGCACAATAACATTCCATTACAATCATATACCACAGCTTGTTTAGCCATTCCCCAATTGATGAGTATCCCCTTGATTTCCAATTCTTAGCCACCACAGAAAGAGCTGCTCTAAATATTTTTTTGTACAAATAAATCCTTTTCCCCTTTTTTGGATTTTTTTTTGGGATATAGACCTAGTGGCGGTATTGCTGAATCAAAGGGTATGTACAGTTTATAGCCCTTTGGGCATAGTTCCAAATCGCTCTCCAGAATGGTTGGATCAGTTCACAAACAGTACATTAGTGTCCCACTTTTCCCACATCCCCTCCAACATCCAACATTTTTCTTTTTTGTCCTATTAGTCAATTGGATGGGCATGAGGTGGTGCCTCAGAGGTGTTTTAATTTGCATTTCTCTAATCAAGAGTGATTTAGAGCATTTTATGAATTCCCATTTTTGCCTTCCATAAGACACTGCTGACTCATCTTGTTTTTGTAGTCCACTGAGACCCCCAGAGCATTTAGTAGTATAGGACACTGTTGATTAGCCACCCCTCCCATGTTCTGTCCTTGTGAGGTTGAGTTTTGGAAGTCCAGGGTGAGACTTTATTCCTGTTGATTTCACTTTCTAGTTAGCCCAATGTCCAGAGACATGATATGCTTAGCCCCATACCCCAGCCATCCATACATCAGCCACACCAGACTCTTGTCCCAGGCTCTTCCAAATGCAATCAGTGAGAGGAGAGAGGAGGAGGCTTCTGGTTTCCATCTTCAAGAGAGAAGGGAGAGATCCTGGAAGGAGAGAAAGAGTCTGGCAAGGAGCCAACATATACTCTCCCAAGAGCTTGCCAACTTTGCTCCTCATTGAGGCATGAAGCATTGAGTAAACAGTCCCCTCCAGTGAGGAGAGCCTTATCACTGATGGGCTTTGAGTCCATAGTTAGAGAGAAAGAGACTGAGTCAGTGGTTCAGGACTTCATGAGGCTCATAGGCACACAATCGAAAAATGAGAAGGGACCTTATTTATTCCAGTTCAGAGCTGTCCAAGAACCCCATACACAGCCTTTTTAACAAGTGTCCATGAGGTCTTTGCTTGGGCATCTCCAGGGAGGGTTAGCAAAAAGTTCAAGAGCCTTTACACAGTAATGGTGAAAAAGAAAAGAATCCAGAAATCTCTAGGTGTAGACATTGCCCCCTCCCCCAAATTGTTTATTTGTTATAGTTTCTCATTGTCATCATTCCTCACCAGGCTCTTCTTGAAGGTTGACTGGTAATCCCCTTATAAAGTTAATTAGTCACTTGTAGCCAGTGCCTCCCCCTAGCACATTACACACTGATGAGAAGTGGGAAGCGGAGGGAATGTTGGCATGGCTAACTTGTGAATCCCTTTCTTGATTCAGGCCAGATCAGCATAACTATAAACCAGACCAAGAAATGGGCTGCTCT